GGGCTCTTGTCACCTATAGCAGTAATAAAGACATACTCAACACTGCATTTTCACGATCATAAATCAACCTCTCCATATTTTTTTTTACGAATGGATTGCAAGGAAGTATTGTGCCATTCAAAGGACATTCAGAACATTGCATTAGTAACAAAAGACGAAGCTATTCCATTACATCTTACCTTAAAAAAAAACCTTGGGCTGTAAATAAAACCCACTCATCAAAACAAACTCGATTTCACTTGCAAGGTTATCGCCAGATCCAACATGGAGAATGAATATATTCATTAAGAAATGAGATGACTAGATGTATTAGGATATATGCATGGTAATAACCCCATTTATTTTCTTCAGCTTTAGCCAACAGAAATGAAGAAGAAGAAGAAAGAAGAAAGAAGGAAAGAAGGAAAAGAAGAAGAAAGAAGAAGAAAGGAGGAGGAGGAGGGAAAGAGGAAGAATACCTTGCAGCCTTGAAGGAGACCGATCGGTAAAGCTAGGAGATGTGACGGGCTCAAGTCGAACGTCTGGATCAGCGTCGGCTAAGGCTACAGGATCACCAGGTTTGGGCGGCTTCAATCGGGAGCAGGGCTCCGGCCTTGGCTGAAGCTCGCGACCACAGGGAACGGGAGGGGAGCTTCGGCTTCTCCTGTCTGCGCGAACTGAGGGAGACCGTGAGGGAGAGCGAAAAAGCGAGAGCGTTAGAGTGGGAGAGAGGAAGAAATCAAGAGTCGGAGACTAAAAAAAAAAAACCTCTAGCCGAGAGCTTTCCTCTCGAGTAAATCAAACTTCTTTGCCGAAGGAGGAAGCCCGCGCCTCGTCCTCTCTAGCTTCGGCTTCCGAAATCATCCCGAAAGAAGTCCGCTCGCTGCTCGACGTCTGCCCGAATCGCAGAAGATCGCTGAGGCGCGCGATTTCGGCCGAAATGCAGATCTCATTTCATCCAAGCCGTCGAAGAAATTTCCTGATCAAGGAAACGAATTCAAAATATTTGGAAAGTCAAATGGTTTTTTTTAATGGGATCAAATTGGGCTGAATCAGATTAATTTGGGTTAAGATCAGGTTAGGCTCGAGTTCGAACTTGACTCGATTTGAATCAAATTGGGTTCGAGTCGGCTCAATAAAATTAATCGAATGGAATTAAATTCAATTTAAATAAAACAGAGTGAGGCGCTACCAAAATAAAATGATCGAGTCTAATTGAACGTAGTTGGGTCTAATCCGGCTCGAGTCGAGTCAATTCGAACTTGAATTAAACCCGACGAGGCTCAATTAAATTGATCGAAGCTCCTCGAGGCTACTCGAATGAAAAACGAGGTCAACAGAAGGCTATATTAAGCAGGGTACCAATGAAGCTTGCATTGGATATAGATAGGATAACAACCATAAGGGAAGGCAGACAGTGAAGGCACGGAAGTAGGAAAAAATATGTTTTTAGGGTTGCGACAAGCTTCAAGGATAGCAGCCAAAAAACACGTCTCAAGCGGCTAAGTACTTGACACGCAAATCTACTCCCGTTCGATCGAGCCAGCCTTCATCCCAATGCAAAATAGTCATCTAACTCCACCTGAACACTCCTGTTTGATCGACCTCGTACAGGTGTATACAAGGCCTCTGATCCCTTTGGTCTGATCTCAGGAAGGAGTACAAGTCTTGCACTCTTGCTTGTCCCAACCCTAGACCCTCATGAAAGGGAACTCTCAGCTCGCACGCAAGAGGAGGTCTTGCACTCGACTTCTCTCACTTATGCTCTATTGACTATGGATGTTGCACTTGAGCTGAGCCCTCATGCCCGATCTCTCATCTATCTTGGACACACGAAGGAAGCAGATGGACTGATATTCTTTAGAATTTCGGTAATGAAGGCCGGTGGAAGGACTAGTATTCCTCAGAATTTCGGAAAGCCAACAAGCGTTGGCTCCTTCAGGATAGGATGAAGTGCTTCTAATATCTCTGTAGCCTCACCCTCGATATCCATGATAGATTCTCTACTTAGGGAAGTAGCGTACTTCACCATCTGCATGCTTACTAACTCTTTGGTCATCGTAAGCACGCATTGGACCGTAGCAGTGAACTACTTTACCACTAAGAAAATCATCTTCTTCCCCACTGCACGCATCGTCTGGGCAACTCCATGTATCAGGACCGTTCCATCAGCGAGCTTCAAATCCAGTGAACCTACTTCAGTCCAAATCTGACTGGCAAGGTTCTTAATGACGATTTTATCAGCGGTAGCGAAAAAAGGCGAGAATGTGGGTTACGAAGTGGCTTTCGTCCGATTTGAGGGATTGATCCCAATGGTGGAGATCTTGTAAGAGGTCAACTTCTGCTGTTAAGAAGGAGGCTTTAGCCTTCTTGTACATCTCCCTGATCTGAGGGTGGCGGATTGAGAAAATGCATAAGCAATTGTGATTTGGGGCAACGAGGGGCTCTTCGAGTGGAGGATTTGATGGTGTGTATGATAGCTCTTCAATCGCTTGTTCCTTGCTCAGTTTGGCTCTACATGCACGAGGGTCGGTTGTCCCAGCTCAGGCACGCAAGTATGCAGTTCCTGCTCGCTCCCTCTCTTGATCCTCTTTTTCACTTGGTTCGCCCCCCAGGCAAGAACACACAAGAGCCGCATGCAGAAGATGGCAAAGGGGAACCCCTATCACTTGCTCGGTTGCCCTGGACGCACCCGAACAAGGACATAACGCAAGAACCAGCTCTCCCTCTCTCACGCTCTCATTTTTTAAGAAGAACCGAATGTCTTGCTCTTATACCATTTTAATTCAAAGATTTGGAAAGGGAAAATGCTTAAGTTTATTATACAATCTCTTTCTATTTATCGGTCTATACAAGATGTCTTAATAAAAAAACAAATAACTACAGAATCATGCATAATTGCCTTAATATAATTCTTCCTAAATCAACCACCTAAAATATGGAAGGAGATTGGCATGATCCAGGTAAGCCTCCCAAGAATTTTCATTATGGATGTGGGATCAAGGGCCAAGAGATGGTTGGGATTTTAACACCCAGCTCACACCTTGTTCTCTGTTGGCTAGCAGATGAGTTACGGGATGGAAAGGGAAATGAGAAATCGTATTTTTGTGTCTAGTGCTTAGGTTTTAATAACTAAAGTATTATAATGTTCAATTCCAAAACCATCAGTCATCTATTGCTTGCATCAGCGGCTGATTGGTCTGCTAAGTGGAAAAAGTCGCAGGATGAATAGGGCAATAGTTAGTTTAATCCATGAACATTAACATTAAGATGAATTTGGCTATATAATTTAAATAGTAAATTTAATTTATATACACTAACATACTTACGTCTATATATATATATATATATATATATATATATATATATATATATTCAAATGTTTATCTTACTGGTTTGGTTGAACAACCTAACCAACCTTCATTTATCAAAACCTCGTGTTAATTTCTGTTTTGACAAGATCGTTTTAGATGATTCAGAATCTCGTTATATTTGTTCACGATATTTTGGCACCAGTTGATTCGTTTTATGTTAACTTGCCTTTTTATTTTTCATTGTTGTAGTTTTTTTGTGCGTGTCTAAGCTCTTTATTTTTCACTATCTTAAGTTCAATGGGTTAATCTTCTATATATATATTTTTTAATATCAAATTCTACTTCCTACCCTTGTTTTCTTATGATATATCTTGATTTTAGCATACAATACTGGCGGATTTCCAACACTTTGTTTTATTCCAGAAATTTTATTATGATATATCTTGATTTTAATTTGCAACACTAGCGGTTTTCTAATACCTTAGGGGCCGTTGCGTTCTTTTTTTATTTTATTTTATTATTATTTTTTTTTTTCATGTATGATTTGAAGTAAAATATATTTGGCATCTTAAATATGTGTTATTTTAATTTTTTGTTGAATATCACATAATTTGCTTTATGTGGCAAGGTGACTATGTGTGATTTTAGTTGGTTTTTGATCAATGATGGTGGTGGTGTCGACGGTGGGTGTTGGTGGCAGGTGGTGGTAGTGGTGACTACAACAATGGGAGAAGCTGGCAGTGGTTCGGTGGTAGCAGTTGTCGGCTGGTTGGGGCAATGTTCATTTTTAAAATTAAAAAAAAAAACACTGGAAAATTTTCTTGATGTTGTTTTAAGTATTTTTTAGAACTATTTGATTTGTTAAACAAAAACACAAACCAAAAAAAAATTTTTTTAAGCTAAAAGGACTTGAAGATTTCAAACAGGCCCTTTGTGCTTCCCAAAAAAAAAAAATTTACTTTTTTTTTTTTTTTTGTAAATCAAAATAAGATTTATAAATGATTTTTTAATACATGTAAATCTATCATGTATAAAATACTTACTGAGTTCTTATCAAATGCCACAATTACATTGAATTCTTTATCAATGCATTGCAGAATCCTTGTGATGTTATAAATTTCTCAGGCAACGCTAAGATTCACCGGGATTCTTTCCTTTCAGTATTCAACATCTCTGGCCTACCCGAAGAATTTTATCACAACAGTAAGTGTGTCCTAAACTTAGTTCCAGTTTGAGTTAGTTTTTTCAAAATTTTATTTTTCATGCAGCTGTCATATTTTTATTTGATTATAATTTTTTTTCAGAAATTTTGGCTGTGAGAATGAACCTTTTACAATTAAACCTGTTTGTGTGTTAATTGTAAGAAAGTTGATGGCTGAATTTTTCAAATAAAAAAGAATCGATAATATCTATAATAATTAAAAAAGATATATTTCTCATAATAATTCCATAATTGTTTTTATTTTTTATAGAAAGCTGTTAGCGGCTTATCGTCCCTGATGGGGAAAATTATTATGTGCGGCGTCTGGATTCGTCTGGAGGCGAATCCAGACGCGCCGCGCACCCAGGCCTTTGGACGGTTCGGACACATCATTTAATAATCTCTCCCCTGATGGACCTTTTAAGTGTAGTTTGCACAGGCTTTAACTTTGATTAGAACCCTCTTACACGAATGATTTCTTCAGGCCTTTTGTCCAGAGGTGAAGATGATAACTTTGTAGATGGAGCAGTTATAGCAGCAGCTCGAACTCTACCAAGTTGGTCAGATGGAGATATGCCTCCACTCCCAAGTGTTGAAAGAAGAGCTGCAAGGGAATTGCAAGCAGAATGCCGTCAAATGTTAGCAGAGTTGCCAACTACCTCTCAAGAAGATCAACATTTCCTAGGTAACAATCTAATCAACCTTCAAGGGCTCATTTGATTGCATTTATTAGAAAATGATAAATTTTTCTTAGCTATGACACTTTTGTTTTAATAAAATCAAGGGGAAATTACATGTATAAAATCAAAATCTTCCATATTTATTAAATTTTTTTTATATAATTTAAGTATTTTTTTTGTAAGATATTATTTATATAAATAACAAAGATTTGGATGATATGCCTATTATTTTACATTAAAATTAGCATTGGGTTTTAAATTTTACAAATCCTTTGAATATAATTATCTTATTTCCACATATAAAATGATGAAAATTAAAATTATCATTTTCTAAATAAGTTTTCTTCATGCAAGAAACTAATTGAGCCCCAAGAAGCAGCAGCAGATTCAAATTAATGGGCAATGCAGATCTGAATATTTCTGATCCATCTTGTTTTCCCTGTTTTTCTTCCAGAGTCTAATTCCCAGACAAGGACCAGCGAGGCTGCCATCAAGTGAGTAAACGCTAAAGTGCTGCATATTTAAAGTAATATTATAATGTTAAACCCATAACTATCCTAAAAAAATTGACGCATTGGTGTGATGAATTGGAGAAATTAGTCTGTGCGGATGCTGAAACACAGCTCTACATCAGGAGACCAATCAGTATGAACCACATCAGCGACCGAGCTACAGTACTGACGTGACTCAATCTAGTTGGTCTCCGAACGATGTTCGGCGTCCGCATAGAATAATTTCTCGATGACTTGATATGAATGCAAGATACGTTTATATGAAATTATTAAAATCTCTATCACGCACACACAATACATCAAAATTTGAGGTATGCAAGACACATTTAAACAGTTTTCTAGTAAAAATTTTGTATTAAAAAGTTGCTTAAAGAGATAATAAGAAAGTTGTTCCAAACTAAAGCCATAATCTTCTAAAAAACTTCCTGAATCTTTTTTTTTTCTGACAATGTATGGACGTTTAAATGAATGCAGGTACAGATTACATCGCAAATTGTTTATTGAAAAGGTCGTTCAGGCGCTGGAAATCTATCAGGATAGGCTATTGTTTTGATCAGCAACAATAAGGGGCATGTGGAGGAAAAGCTATTATGTTCCGACAAAAAATCGGAAATTCAAACAAATACTGAGCAATATCGAGTGCTCGGTACCGAACACCAAGGTGACGTAGCGCTCTGTTATTGGTCTTTGGACGCATTCCGTTGTCCGGACACAATAATTACTCCATATGGAGGCTAGCTGGAACTTTGTTAGTTTCCAACAGATAATCTGAATCTTAATGATTTGATTCATCCATATGATATGAATATTTATGACCCAAATCTTGGAAACATCCCCTTTGTTATAAGAGCCAGGCTGCTGCTGTCACATGCTGGGTACTTTTTCCCCACAGTAAAAGTCATTCATAAATGATTTTTTATTTATTTTTCTCTCAAGAAATTATTCTTATTAGAGAGATTTGTATACATATCACTCTATATTATTCAATTTACATATTTAGCACCTAAAACTTTAATATTACATACATATCATTTATATTTAATTTTCATATCAAATATGAGTGGTAGAAATGAATTATATGAGTGGTCAGGGGCGGAACCAGCCCTAATTTTCAGGGGGGGCAAACTTATAAGACATATATGTTGGGGTCCAAGGGGGCAGTGTCTTCTGACGGGGTTCGACCTGTTGGGGGCAATTACCTAAAGACCATAGTATTTTAAAATTTTTAGGGGGGGCAATTGCATGAAAACCCTTGTATTAAAGACTAAAAAATTGCAAATCAAAATTTACTCTCTAATAATTATTAGAATGGAAAATATCAATATAAAATAATTTATAAATAACATTTGACGAAATTTAATTTCGAAATTCAACTCCAAAGCACTCACTTTCAACTCTATTTGAAGTCAAAAATTTTGACTAAATAGCTTATCTGATCAGAAATAATATCAGAGGTATACAAAGAAGTCAATAATCTAAAAAACAATATGGTTGTGGAAAAATTAGATGGTGGACTCCGCGGTTATGGACCATTTTCGGGCCAGGCCCTACACTGTCGTTCCGTACCGGCCCAATAGCTCTTAGTATAGAACGTGAATGATTTGACCCAAACTTAATGAACCCTTCATTTGGGCCTCACACGATATTTTTTTATGGATGCACTTTATTTAATAGAGTCAATAATCATAAGAATATTGATAAAATTAATTATATTTTTCATTGAAATTCCTTTAATTAAACTTGACGACATCATAATTATTCAAATGTTGTGTTTATAGTTATTATTATTATTATTCTTATTTGACATTTATGTCAAGGTAAACTCAAACACACATCACATACGTAAGACTCGAACTCAAAAACTTTTGATTAGTAGTCAAAGCTCCTAACCAATAGATCAAGGTGAGTTGTGTAAGTAATTGCTCTTGGCAAGAGCTTTTCTTAAATGGTCTCAGCTATTCAAATGAGTTAAGGAAACCACATCGCCATAGGCGTAAGTGGTGACACAATGGAGAAAGTTTTTTTTCCCCTTGATATTTTGACGCTAAATAAAATGAACCTTAAGTTATAAGATATCAAAATTTTCATAAATCACCTCGACAAGGCATTCATTTCGACTAAAAAAGAAAGTTTAATTTTATTCATCACTTTAAAGAATTTTAGAAGTATTTACTTTTATGGGACTACTTTTCAATCCTCATAATATTTAATTAAAATGAGATTCATTTAAAAAAAAAAAGGTATATAAATCTTAAATTTGCTTAAGTTGAAATCTAAATAACTTCTAAAATTATTTCAATTTGTACTTATTTCTCCATTCAAAAAAAATATCAAAAAAAATTTATACTCAACAAAATTAATATTAAGAGCCACATCAATATCCATCCAATTTAATAAATGAAGTGTCCTTTACAAACTATTTTTGACTACTTTCTAAAACATCTTTCTAGAACAAAAATTACTTGAAAGCAATGAAAAATAATGATCAAAAGCTGTCTCACACGAAGTCTAAAGTTTCGTTTGGGACAACTTTAGGCCACTATTTTTTCTTTGCTTTTACGATATTTCTTACCTAAAAAAAGCTATAAAAAGCAATAAGAAAATCTTTCCAAACGAACCAAAAAACATCACCTTCCTTTTAAAATTCAACATACAATAAATTACTATTGATGTCATGACTTCCTTCATTTTTCCAACCATGACTTTTGAAACCCTAAACTACAAGCATTCCATAAGAGTAGTCATACATGTCTACTACATTCTTCAACATACTTATTTATAATAATCAAATGTGTCACATGGCATCTGCTCTCTCTCTCTCTCTCTCTATCTCTCTCTCTCCACTCTCTCTCTCCTCTCTCTCTCTCTCTCTCTCTCTCTCTCTCTCTCTGCTGAACAAAATAGATAAAGCCATTTCGTTATAGTGGAAAACTTTGGATGTTAAGGTTGGTGAATAACTTTGACCTACAAACTCCTTTTTAACCATTTATTAATTTTTATGTTATCTCCCACAAGCGTCAATAACTAACCTTCCTACGTCTATAACAAAATTGAATGAGGCTGACATTCTCATTATTATTCAAAGTTGTTGTCCAAAATGCAAATTAGGAGGATCTCCAAACCTAACTTTGGTCTAATCTTATTGTGATTGATGATAGTTTTCGGTGCATATTACGATATATAAGAGTATTAGATTTAGACTGCGTTTGAGATGGCTTTCTTACTGTTTCTTAAAACAATTTTTTAGTACAGAAATTAAAATTTTTATAACAGAAAGATACTTTAAGAAGCATAAAGAAAAAAGTTGTCCCAAACGAAGCCTTAGGCTTCATTTGGGACAGCTTTCTTATAATGTTTCATAAAGCTGTTTTTTAGTACAATTATTTCTAGTTCAAGGAAATTTTGTGCTAAAAAGTTGCTTTAAAAATATTAAGATAGTATTTATCTAAACAAAGCTTTAATGTTACTCAAATAACTGAAGAATATATTGAATATTTGGTGTATACGTATCTAGTGACAGGTTGACTCTCATTTTATAAGATTAATTTGTTTAGTTTTAAAAATATATTTAATACAATTAATTTTTATCATTGATTCACTTTTCCTTTTGATATATATGGGAGGTGTTTGGGGAGGTTGTAAGATGGTACGGGCCCGTAGGAGGTCGCCACAATAAGAGTTAAAACAACTGTTGGTGGTAAAGAAGATGACAGGTGATAGAGAAATTATTATGTGTAGTTAACGGTCTGTTTCAGGCAAATCATGACGTGTCACGTCACCCAATACACAGCGGTATACAATAAATTAGTGACGTAACGCATCTTGATTGGCTTCCGGAGAGCATCCGGCGACCGCACGTAAAAATTTCGCCAGGTGATGGTCAATACTAAAAAAAAAAACGAGATTTAAATGTGGCCGACTTCCAAATACATAAAAATAAGTTGTTTGGAGTATTTATAACACAACAAAAGTTTATCTTACATTTATTTTGCTTTATATTAAACATTTATATAAATAACATTCAACATATTTGTGTTTGAGGCCTAACTGAGTGTCCAAATCCTTCTGATATTCCTTTTGATTTGGACATCTCAACAAATTTTATAAAATTTTGAGCAATTTATTATTCCCTTAGCTCTCACTCCACATAGTTCTAAAAAATATTTGAATTAGGATAAAATGGGTTGAATAGCTCCAACGGTCTGATAACCACTTTTGCCTAAGCTCTCAAATCTAGAGGAGATTATTAATTAGCTTTGCTTTGTGAAGCTATCTATTACTATAATTGTCATGAATTATTAATTTATTAAATATTTATAAGATATTATGCTCATAATAAAAATATATCACATATATTTAATTGTACACATTACATATACAATATGAATAATGCTTAATTTGAACACATAAATTTATGTTTCATATAGTTAGGAGGGAAAATATATTATAAAATTTTATTTTTTTACTTTATATATTGATTTTTTTAATGTTAAATAATAAAGTATAAAATATGTTATTCAAATTTATAATTTTTTTAAAATATTCTTACTCCTCATATATTAAATTTTCATTGAATTTTTAAGTTAGAAAAAAGTTATTTTTTATTGATTCATATAAATATAAATTATGAGGAGAAAAATATAAAAATGAACAAAAAAATCAATAATAAATTAACATATAAGAAATATTGAATTTTTGCATTACAATATATTAAATATTTACAAAATTTCATATATCTAGTGCATTAATTTATTTTTAAAATTTTAAAATTATTTATCATTAACCTTTTTTATTGATATTCTATTTATATAGATAATAAACAAAAATAAAAAAGAAAACATCAACTTAAACAGAAAAAAAAATGTCTAGTAAATACTTTGTATTTATAATTTTTTATTTATCATTTATTATTACTCAATTTTTAAATGTGATGGTCATTACTCTTTTCTAGCGGTGCAACCGTGTCAAGCCGACTAGCGAGCTGACTCGAGCTCGACTCGTTAATAGGCTCGACGAGTCGAGCTTATCAAACTCGAACGACCCACTGCTCAAGCTCGTCAAGAAAAACACAGATGAAATCACCAGTAGGGAAATGGAAACTCACACGGAGAATGAAATCGCACGTGGGAAAATGACGAACGCTTGCAATGGCTGTTGGCGATGATGCACGCTGGCGACATATGGAAGCTAGTGACAGACGCGGATACTAGTGACAACCCAAGATGGCTACGCCGGACTTTGGCGATGGACAGAAGCTAGCGACTCGAGAAGCTAATGACTACACAGACGCTGGCGACGACGGAGACACTCGAGTAGGATGATGGAAGTGGCGACGGACACTGGTACGATGGACAGACTGAGATCGAAATACCGTTTGAGCAGCCTAACATTTTTTTTTTCTTTTGTTGAGTTCAGATCGAGCTCGACTTGAACATTCTCTTACTCAAGCTCTACTCCACTAATTTGCACCCATGCTCCTTTCTTTAACTACCCTAATAAATATAAATTATAAGAAAACAACAAAAATGCAAATTTATTTAAAAACTATACTTTTTTGGGGTAAGAAATAAAAAAAAAAAAAACTATATTTTTATGGGCATAACAAATTACAAAAATATATTTAATTCATCGCAACTACGTCGATTACTGCCCATTCCAATCCGCGACAGCAGCTTCAGCCGGCTCTCAGTTCCGTCACATCAGCCCCAGATTGCAACCGCGACTCAGGATAAGAAAGCCCTAAACCCTTACGTGAAAACATTACATTGGTGGGTCTCCACTATTGGCGGGAAAAGTAATCTCAAAACCGGTCATTACAGCCGCTAGTCCAGTTTACAACGCGAGTCATGGGAACGCCCTGGTCCCAGTGTTTAAAACCTGGAAGGAAGAAATGGTTGGTCTTCTAACTGAATCAAACAAGTTGAGGGTTGGGTGAACCACTCTTTCTAGGAGCCTAAAAACTCTTCAAAAAGGTAATGGAATTGTTGTTAATAAAACCATTAAAATCTAGCTGAGCTAAGACAAGTCTTGTCTTGTTGCTTAATTCAAGAGATTAGTCATTTGCATTGCTATATTATAATCAATACCCACCGCTGCTTGTCCGGGTGGTGAAGAGCCGGCTGGGCAAAACCTAGATCCCTAGTTCGAATCCCTTGGCAAGCAGTGAAAGCCTTATGTGTTGGCTCGTGCAAATTGGTGTGAGTTGCATGCTAAGTCGATCAGGATTTTCAATGGCCTAAGAACAATGCTTTCTCGTCATAAAAAAAAATTTATAATCAATTGGTGATTATGATATTTATAATTATAATTAATGATCATGAATAAGAAAATTATTAAGGGAAAGTATATCAAATTTTGATTAGAATATATTTGCTTTAAAATTAATGTAATTGACGGATACTTAATTAAGATTGTATGGTGATTTTAAAATAACTTTGAAATAATAAAAAAATTTAATTTGAATTGTTTAATTCTTTATTTTGGCTTACTTGAAAATGATGTAAACGAGGATTGAATTGAAAAATTTTTATTACTTTCGAAACCCTTATGAATTAGCTGGCGTTCACTTATAATTTTGAATGATAAGTTATAATGCAATCTTAACTAAAATTTGGTATATATATAGAGTAGGGATGTAGCCGAGTAATGTCGACTCGCGAGTCGGTTCAGACTCGACTAGGTAATTAGCTCGACGAGTTGAACTTATCGGGCTCGTCGTGTGTTGAGCTCGAACACGATTTCGAGCTCGACGGCTTATAGAGCTCGAACAAACCTCCGTTCAACTCGTCAGCTCATCGAGGTGACCGGGCGGACAGGAGGACGAATCGAAGGTCGGGCATCAAAACCAAAACAATGGAGCTCGCATGTTGCTCGACTGAGAAGCACGAGACGACGAAGCTCGGGTTGACAGTGGATGCAATGACGAAGCTCGAGACGAAGGAGCTTGGCGATGGAGCTCGCATGTTGCTCGACAGCAAAACACGAGACAACGATAGAGTTCTGGTTGACAGTGGATTTAATGACAGAGCTCGGTACAACAGAGATTGTGTGCTGCTAGCCTACTTGGACGGAGCTTGACGACAGAGCTTGGGACGGAGATCAACAACGAGTTTAAGATATAACCTACTTGGACGGGCTCGTCGTGAGTTGAATTTGAGCTCGAGTTTGTACTCAATATTTGGCAGTCGAGTTCAACTCGAACACCCCTGGCTTGAGCTCAACTTGATTCGTTTGCACCTCTAGAGAGAGAGAAAGAGAGATATTTTTTAGTTCTTGTGCTTATGTATAGATAATTTTATAATATTAAACAATAAAATTGTCTTTTGTTAGATATATAATTGATGTGACAATATTCAATTCATAGAAAATTTGAAGGATAAAATATTCAATATTTTAAGATATTACTACTTTTACAATGGACTTTTCTTCAACCAATCAATTGTGGCCTAAAAACATTTATATCTATCACAATCTAATTGTAGCATTGAACATAGCTACAAGCTAGGCTAAGGATAGATACCAAAATTTGAATAGTTGAATTTCTATTCCAAACTCTCAACTTTATAATGGTTGGCAAATTTATGAGAATATCAAATAACATCTAAATTTAAAATATATTTATTAAATAACATAAAAATAATTTTAAGTCAACGAATACTTCAAATAAGAAAACAAAAATAACGTAAAAATATCCTGACGAATTTTGCATTAGGATGTATATGATTGCTCTTGAATTTACATCAATGTAATTTACATCAGAATGTATTTAATTGCTCTTGGATTTAAGTCAAAATTACTTCTTATATATGATATCATGAACTGCACTAATCTCAGTGCAAATCTAACGACATGCATGCTCATCCTAATGTAAATGACGTTGGGATATTCTTAAGTAATTTTTTTTCATAAAAAAAAATAATGAGAAAAAACTAAGTAGGATGAGACAACCCTTAGACCTCCATTTATATTTGTGTAATATTAATCATTGTTAATTGCACTAATCTTAAAGAATATTCAAGAGATGTAAGTCTGAAATTTTAGTTAAAATAAATATTATTTTTGTCTAATATACCCCTCTAAATCATCAAATTGCACAAATCTTATTTATAGTCACCACAATAATAAAATAAAAAATAAAAAATCCTCTTTGTGACAAATATAATTATTTCTTAACCTTGCCCTTATATATGAACATGACATTTGGCAAACATTTTAAATTAAATGACAAATAATGTCTTAGCTTAATTGCTTAAATTAATTATGTAACGAAAACACTAACAAACAACCAGCCCAATAAAATGTAAACACGTGTCCATAATTTGAATTAGGATACATCATGCTCTCTAATCCAAAGACTAAAAAGGCAATGATAGCATTATAATAAAGTAATTAAATTTATTAATTATATCATTAATGCCATATTCACCCATCAAAAGTTGATTTTGAGGCTTAATGCACTCAAATATCAAATCCCATTGGGCCCACCAACCTCCTCTTTTCAAAATTCATATATTAATATATCACAAATGATTTAAACAATTTATTTAAAATAATAAAATATTTATTTAAAAGAAACATTATAATATCGGAAATTATTTTTATAAAGCAAAGTCTTACTGTCTTATAATTTATATTGAATGTATTAATATTTAAAATAAAAATATCAAAATTGTGATATATTTTGTGTAAGAAATTATAAAATATTTTGTTAGTAAAGTTATAATTTTCAAATACTTTGTAAATTTTCTCCATTGATTTCACCCGCTATGATCCCACATCCGTCACCTATTGCTCGACACCATGGTCGCCCACCACTGTCACAGTCAACCACTGTCGGTACCTGTTGTTATTGTTGCTCGCTCGTCACCACTACTATCATTGTCTACCAGCAATAGCCATTGTTAGGATTTACACTACATTTATTTATTTAAAGTCTAATCATATGCATTGATTTTATAAAAAATTCAAATACATTGTATTTCTTCTACACTATATTTTATTTTACTATGCATTCCTTTTTTTTAGCAAAGCTACCCGCTCCTTAATTATCCAAAAGAGGGATTTACATTCATTCCATTGAATTATTTATATTTTTACTAATTTAATACATAAATCTTTGTAATAATTTATATAACATCAAGATTTATTTAGGACATTAGTAACTTTTTGTAAATTTAATTGTAAAATTGTTGTGAAAAAATAAAAAATTGAAATCACAAATGTTTTAATTTTTTTAATGTCAGACATCAATTTTTTTTTATAATTATTAAATCTTCATAAATCTTATGATAAAAAGTAACTTTTTTTTCTAAAAATAAGAAAAAAAAGTAAAACAGTAAAATATTGCTCTGAATAATACTAATTCACATAAAAAAATTTCACAAATTCTATCTAATTAAATAAATAGATAAAAATATATTAAATATATAAATATATAAGAATTTGTTGATATATATGAATTGGGTGATATTTAAATACATAAGATTTAGGTTCTAGAAAATCATTTGTATGTAAATATTTATTTGATTAATATACTTCTATTTAATTATTCTTTTAAATTTCCTTCAAATAGGCCAGTCTTCCCGGCCATTGACAAGCAGTACTTTAAAGGAGCCGGCTTTGTCAATTTCGGATTTCCATGCGCCATCTCCGGTCCTTTCCCTTTCCAAGTTCCCTCCTTTCCTTTTTCTCTCCTTTGGGAGGATAATCTCATTTTGAAGGAAAAACTAAGCTCTCTCTAAGTTCAACAAGAAAAATCTTCTTTGCTTCCATGTCTTAAACTCCGAGTTTCTCCTCTTCTACAAGGTTTGCTTATAGTAGGAGAGTTAAGGGGAAGCCAAGAGAAGCAATGGCTTCCAAGAAAGGTTGGTTCTTTTTTCTATTTGTTGGGATGGGAACAGGGAAAGCATATGAGATGCTTCAATGGCGCTGATAAGCTGTTTACTCTTTTTCCAGAGCTCGGCCAAGAAGAACCGCAGAGGCCTTTGGTGGGATTTGAAAAAGGTCAGATTTTTATTTTTTTATTTTGGCTTTCAGGAGGTGAAGTGTGATGTTGTTGAGGTGTTCCTCTTCATTGGAGAAGATTCAGCGAAATGATTCAGCTTTTTTTTGGATTCTTTCCAGTATTTGCGTTTGTTTTTCCTTATATGCGTTTTTCTCTTTAACTGGTTTGAATTTTGATGCTTTATGGAGGAAACCAGTGAAAGCAGTGAAGGTGAGAAAATTACAGTAAAATATTCCCGACGAAAACAGGAAAAAAGAAAAAGCCGAAGTTCCATTAATCTTTTATTTTTTCGATGCTAAGACTTTTCCTCCCTTTCATTAACCAATTTTTTAGTGTTCAAAGGGAAGTAGGAAAACATTTGAAACCTGACATCTGCTATGCAGTAATTTATGTTATTAACTGATGCCATGTATTTGGTTCTCTGACACCTTCACAAAACAAAATTTGTTCTTTTGTTTGTTTTGTTTTGTTTGGTAATGATTACCGTTTAGTGACCAATCATAGATTTAATGCAGAATGAGATCCCATTTCAGGACCTTCACAATAATTTTAAATTTTTTTTTAACTGATTGTTAGTTAGGTCGTCTTTGAAATAACTATAACATAAATTTTCAAGATTCCATTACATAGTTAAAGAAGATTGGACCAAGCTCACTGTAGTAGATAGATAACATCATTATTTTAATGACATGATTATTTATAAACCAAATAGTGCCTACACCGTCAATAATAATAATAAAAAAGATGAAAAGATTTTTGTTTTTCCCTCAATTGTGTCCTCCCCTGTTTACCACCATTCATAATATCTCATCAAAGTTGCAGGAGAAAACAAAGAAAGCTCCAAAACGGAGTCTGAAGAGAACAGCTCAGATGGCTCATGTCAAAACTCTCCAAGAGGAGTTTTAGAGACTCCAACATCAAGTGTTCATTCTGACAGTGGAAGCAGCAATGAGAGCTCATCCTCCATAGATAGATCACTAAGTCCTGAAGGGACTGTACTGGAATGTCACAGTTCTCAGTGGAGAAATCTGATAGGTGGGTTATTGCAGAGGAAGAAGAGAAGTATCATGAGGTTGTCGACCTTTCCGCCAGCCATGAAAGCCTCATGCTTGGAGAGGAAGTGCTTGGGGATTTCTCAGAGCGGCGAAGAACAATCCAAGGGTGGATTAGTTCAGCTGGAGATTCCTATGAGGAAGCCATGTTGGAGGAATTTCGATCATCAGGAGCTTGTGGTGGCGACAGATAACTTTAGTCATGGTAAATTCATATAAATGCTATTTATAAACTAGCAATATCAATTCTGTTTGATCGTGAGAAAAATAGCTGTAAAGTGAAGTATTTTCATGCAAAATTAGTTTGTATTTCACTGTTCAATTTCTTAAAAAATCTACTGAACATACCCGCAGTTCATCCGGTGTATTCATTTAACCAGATGCGTTTTTTTTTAAATATTTAACCAAAAATTAGTTTTATTTAATGTCTTTGAAAGTTGTTCCTGTAGTTTGAACTTTGAAGAATGTCAAAATTAGTAGTTGTTGAAAACATACGCAGGAAAGAATAGAAGTAGTTCTTAAAAGATCTCATCTTTAATATAAAGTATTTAGTTTATTATAAGTTAATGAATGTTTAGCTCTTAATCCTATGATTATTAAATTTAAGTTTCAGTACTATGACTGACTGTATTTGACTTTGCTAGCAAGATTCTTACAGTACGTGGATTGAACTATTCGGCAGTTCCTTTTAGTTCTGAGTAGTTGAGGGACTTACCAATTGTACTGGCTCTCCTATCTCATGAAATAACACATATATGTTTTAATTTAAGGAGCAGGAATTTTCTGCTAACCCACTTTTCCATTAACGTAAAAAATTAGAAATAAGTTTAGCTGAAACTTAAAGAAACTCTCTATGGTGATAATATAACGGTACATTTATTCAAATCAATAGATTCCAAGTTCAATGGGTGTATACACTAAACCTGATCATTTTAACTTAGTCTAAGTGTAAAATTACAGAAAAAAATATAGAAAAGTTCAAATTTTGAGCTTTTTAATGGTATTTTAATTGAAATCGCTTAATATAAATAATTGACAATCTGATTTGTCTACATGCGTGATTATATCTTATTTGATATCCATCAATACCTGTTTTTAGTGCTCTGCACATCTGATATTTTGAATTTTCTGTCCTGTTTTGGTAGGTTTGCTTAGATCATAACCTGCATGTGCCAACTTGGTATATTTATTGAGGGTTATATCAGCCTTTAACATTAGTAGTCCTAACAAAATCATAAATACTCTTAAAGTTGATTTTAAATTATGGTACCTGCTTCACCAGTGTCACAGATCATGGTAGTTCTCCTACTTGGAAGTGTTCATTCAAGTTTTTTCTTCTATGTAAACTTGCAGAATTATAAAATGTGTTTTACTCTTTTAGTTGATGTATAATATTTCTAATCTTAAATTCATCATGAATATTTATATTATTAATATATTTAAGCTTCGTTTGGGACGGTTTGGTTTTCTAGTAACATTTTTTTTTTAAATTTTGTGTACTAGAAAGTTGCTTTAAAAAGTATTAAAAAAGCCGCCCCAAACGAAGCCTAGTTTCTTACCATTTCTTATATTATCAATTTATGATTATAGCAAAGTATATGTAATTCAGTAACATATTGATAAAAAAAAAACCTCTGTTTATTGGATTTTTTTGTACATTTAGATGTATTGCTTTGATTATGATTCTATGCTTTTGCTTTTGTTTAATTTAAATGTCTCTTTTCTCTTCTATTTTGTTTGACCTCTTACAAGATTTTTATTTCTTCTCTAACTTTCTATGTTCATCCTTTAATTTTTTTTCTCATTTACAAATTTGACAGAGAATTTGATTGGAAAGGGAGGACATGCAGAGGTCTATAAAGGCTGTCTTCCTGATGGCCAACTAGTGGCTGTGAAGAGGTTAACTAAGAAAGACAAAGAAGAAGAGAGAATCGGCGATTTCTTATCGGAGCTCGGAATCATTGCCCATGTTAATCACCCAAATGCTGCACAGCTTCTTGGATTTGGAGTTGAGGGAGGCTTGCATATGGTTCTCCAATTCTCTCCACATGGAAGCTTGGCTTCTGTGCTTCATGGTATATTATTCAGTACATGCATTGATTTTCAGTAACCTGCATTTGTTCTCCTCTATTGGTTCCTATTGAGATATATCCCTTTGTTTCCTTTCCTTGTCCAGCCATAGTTTAACTACATCTTAGTATGAGAAAATTCAAATTAGCAAAAAAAATTTTCCAAATCTTTGAACTGAAGAGCCAATTTTTTGTCTTAAATCATAGATGTTTGGCCTATGGGCACAAACAAGTTAAGGCAGGATCAAGCCACTTCTAACATGTGTTTTAGCCTGACTAATTAATTAAGTATGAATTTGAGTTCAAGCTTAAATCTATGAGTTTTAGCGAGTTCACAAGCTGACTCTTTTATGATAAAAGAGTGAATTCAAGTAGCTTTTATGATAAAATAATGAAAATAAGAAAAAAATTAGAGTAGAGGTAAAAAAGAAATTATTTGAAATATGAAAAAGAGATAATTTTAAATAAAATTTGATAACTTTGGAATTAAAATCTTTGAATTTTAATATATTTTAAGTATATTTTATATGATCAATTTCTTAAGCTAGTGAGTTTACGGTGTTACCTCAAACTTTATTTGTTAGCTCATTGAGCTCTATTCATGCTCTATTTATTAACTAGAGCCCGAATCAACTTGACTCAATCAATTACAACGCTAGTTTATGGCTTGAAAGTGCAACTTTCGGTTGCCTCTATTGGGATATGGAAATGGAGGTCCATCTGTTTGAATAACTTAAACAAAGTTTAATTTGCATCATCGAAATTGTTTTTTTGGGGACAATCTATTGTGTTTAGACTCTTTAATACAAAATATATTGATAGTGTTATATGAAATAAAATCATCAAATTCATACACAAAATACAAGATATTCCATATCTCACTTGATATATATCATTATGAAGTCGCAGAAAGATGCACATATAAAATGGTAAACTTATAAACATATTTATCATATAATCAAAGGTTAAGAACAAAAAAAGAAGCCAAACTCTCCCTTATCTAGTTAAGAGAATTCAGTTCTACAGGTTCTAGAGAAATCTCAAGTGAAGGTCAGGTTTGAGATTGCTTTGGGAATAGCAGAAGGGCTTTGCTATCTTCATGAAGGATGCCAAAGGCGTATAATCCATAGAGATATCAAAGCCTCCAATATACTTCTCACTGAGGACTATCAACCTCAGGTGAAAAAACCACAATTATCATATAATCTTCTATACTTTCATGTATGTTTTCAAACACAACTCTGTTTTAAATGCAGATCTCAGATTTTGGCCTTGCAAATGGCTTCCAGACAAGAACCATCATGTTGTGTTTCCCATTGAAGGCACTTTGGGTGAGATTGATAATTGGAAATGGATAGAAATTTTTTTTTGCCTTAAAAATATTAAGTGACATTTTCTATGGCTTAGATATATGGCGCCTGAGTATTTCATGCATGGAGTGTGAATGAGAAGACTGATGTCTTGCATTGGTTGTTGCTGCTTGAGCTATAACTGGCAGGAGGGCGTTGATCCTCAGAGAAGCTTGGTGAATGGTATATTCATTATTCCCCACATAGTTTAATAAACATACTCTCTTTGGCCTTTTTATTGAATATTACACATTGCGCTCATTTTCATGTGTGTTATTAGTATAAATACTTGTAAAAAAGAATATATATGACCCGTATAAACACTTGCCATATAAATGGATGAAAATACGACAAGAAAAAAAAACTGCTTGTATTCTATTATGAATTTCAATATGTTGGTGAGAATTGAACAATGGGGGAAGGCGAAAGAATTTTGAGTGTTTTATAAGAAATATCCTCTTTTCTAATAAAACACGCAATCAATGTTGAACCAAGTGCTTTAGTCATTATAATAAAATCAAAAGCTGGAATGTAAGAGTTTGGCGGCAAAAGAACATAGTTTTCCTTCTAACATCAAGAAATTTGTAAATAATGTAAGTTGCTCTAAAACAAATGAGAGATTTATAAAAAAATTTGAGTTATGATAATTTAAAACATTAGATTTCCTATAATGAGTTTTATCACTCCATTGTTTGAAAGTATGCAAAATTCCCCTTTAAATCCTGACAACAAACCAAGTAAGCAAAGCCAAAAGGTAACAATCAATTCAAACTAAATACAGTATTTGCACATTCATAAACTCACTATTTACAACAAACCTTACATCCACACTTTGCTTATTAGGCAAAGCCTTTTGATGCAAAATTCAAAGCCTGATAGATCCTTCATTGGAGATGATTCTGATTCTGAAACAACTGAACTTATAATTCTGTAGCTACAATGTGCATTCATCATATCTCAACTTCCAGGCCTAGCATGAGTAATGTAAGCACTTAAGCATGTTTTAAACTCTTAGCTTTAGATCAGGTATTTATGTATAGTTGATGAGTTTCTGCTATGGAATTCAGGTGGTTCAGCTTCTAAGGGGAGAAGTAGGAACACAGGAGTTATGGAGGAGATTCGAAGCCAAGGTCGCCGTTACTTGATGCCTGTGAGTTTGTAGATTATACTTGTTCGAGGTATCTAAGTGATCTCCACCGGCACAAGCAGCTGGCATTGGAGCAATGAAATTAGATATAGGGGTTCTGTAAAGGTGTTCAAATGGTGATTTTTAACTGTTGTTGTATTGTGTTTGTTTATAAGTCTTGCAAAGAAGGAATAGCTCAAGTCAATGAAATTTTGACAACTACTAGGTTTCTTCCTTGTTTGGACATTTTTTTTTTGTTTAAGGCCATTTAGTCTCCCTAAAACTATTAAATAGAAGATGGCAAAAAATGTTTAGTTTAGGTAAAATATTGACTAAAGTTGGTAAGTGAGAAAATTTATTGGATTGTATTGAGATAATGCAATATAAATTCTATTAGTTATTATGTCTATATTATCTCAAAACTAATGAAAGCCTTGGAATTTGTTGATCAAATTTATTTATCTTTTTATGAGTTTGGCTTATTAAAAATCATACATGGTAAAGAAGCTATTAATATGTAGTATGTAATTAATACATTGTGCCCAAACTCAGAGTAGAGCATTCAGAAGAAAAAAATGCTTTAGGTTTGGTCACTCGGAATAGGCTTTGGTGTCTCTTCTCCTGTGTCTCATCTTTGTCTCTCTTCACCTAGACTATCATCTTAACAAAAATCAGTCTCTGAGAAGAGCTTTTCCATATGATGTCCCTTAAGTATGAGAAGTACTTCCTCAATTTTACCTTGCTTGATAGAAAGTCTCATTTTCAATGAGAAAAGAGAGGAAGGCTTAATAGAGTTTGGAGCAAAGAATGCAGAATATCTAATTAGAAAAAGATCATATCCACGGTATTGTAACCGCAGTTGGCTCTTTGGGGCCCCCACTGAAGGGTTGACTGCCGCTCGAGGAAATCAAATTCGAGATGGGGGTTCCCAACCGAGCACGCCCACCAACCGAGCTAAGAATCGGTGGGTGAGTATAGTGCTTCTAATCTCAATAATTTATAGTTCGTAATAGATGATTTAATGAGAAATTTAAAATATTTTATAAAAATTTATGAAAATCAAACAACTTAAAATTAAAGACATTTGAAAATCATTTTAGACTTAAATTTTATGGCAAGTGAAGTTTTAATATTAGTAACTTGATATTTAAGGCTTTGTTTGTGACACTTTTCTTATTATTTTTTAAAGTAATTTTCTAATACAAAAATTTTTAGTTCAACAAATTTTTTCACTAAAAAGCTACTTTAGAAAGCACTAAGAAAGTCGTCACAAACGAAGCCGAGAAACTTATGTGCTAAAAAGTTGTTTTAAAAAGTAGTAAAAAAAAAGCCTAAAACAAACCTTATGCTTCAAAGATATCTTACTGCTAGACCATCCAAGAGCCACAGGGTAGATCTAAAGTTCAACACAACATTGAGTCAAGGGAAAATTTTATTATAGTTGACTCAATATGCCCCATTATATTTCTATGGAGATTACTCAACTGTAATTGTTATTTGCAGCTATGAAAGCCGATCTCTCACATAAGATTCGCTAGCTTTCAATCCATTACCTTAATTGGATTTTTTAGCTTCCATGTTTGGTTTATCAACTACAAAAAAACTATTCTTGTCTTCTAATTCACAAATCAATATTAGTTAATTTAATAAAAAAGTTATACTAATTATTATTATTATTATTCTTTTTTTTTTTGGGAGAAACCACAGCAGAGCCTACTCGTTAATCATAATAATAAGTACATGTTCTTAGAGGATCAGAAGCTCACTAAAAGAACAACATTTGAAATAAAATCTAAGAGCTTTAGATCCTACCTAATACATGAAAAGAAAAGACAAAACAAGAAAAGGCTAAACCCAAGCTGCCCGAAAACAACTCCAAGTAGAGGAAAGAAACAATCCAACAGCCACCATCATAACCAGAGCAAAAGTGACGTCCAAATCCGAAGACCAGAGATCCAAAAAGTGGCACAACAGCAGCAACCCCAAGGCTCCAAAGCAGCAACCACCAAGGCAACCACAAAAAAGCTATTTTTTGGAATTCATCATTATTTGTTTACCCACTCAAACGATAGTATCTCGCATACCACCATCATGTTCAAACACTTCCTCTTCATCAACATCAGAAGGAGAAGATGAAGAGCCTTCAAGCCAATCAATTTGCGCCTTAACATTTTTTCCTGATTTGAAGCCCACATGGGCATACAAGGCGTTGGCAGAAAGTAAAGTAACTTAAACATCAATAAGCTTCTCATTCACTCCCAATCCTATAGAGGAAACTAACACAACCGGATCAGCCTGCGTCATAGGAGAAGCAACAGAAGGATCCAACTCACTAGAATCAGTGTTCACCACCCCCATATTCACAACACAAAGTTCATTTTTACCCACATTCATCAACTTATTACCAAAATTACCTTGAGCCACATAAAATTTATTCGAAGAAGGGTCAACAACCACAACACCATGAGACATTACATTCATATGGGGATCCATCAGGCCCATCAACCAGAGGTACGAACTCCACCGCAACATCATTAAGAGCCAAATCATTGCACATAACCCCAACCTCAACCAGCAAATCCAAAGTACCCAAAGGGCAAACAACATCAGGCCTCAAAGGAATAGATTCAAAAACCACAACAACAACCTCACCACCGCCATCATTAGAATTAGGGGCCGGAGTAGATCGATTTAAAACCAAATTTCCACCCTCTCCATTGTTAGATAACATTCAACAAAGCCAAAGGTGACTTAACAATGGACGGAACAACGCCCCCCACAGTTCCCACCAGCATTTTCACTAACCACCACAACCTTGATAAGCGAAATAAGCATTAGAGAACCGACCATATCCAAATTTTCCAAGGAACCAACACCATTCTTATCAGAAAAAATATTAACATTCGCAAAAATTAAAGCATCAGAAGTATTCAAATCCTTCGCAATACCCGTATCCTCTGGAGCAGAACCAGAAGTCTTTCCAACAGTCATAAGTTGCTTGGAAATAGGGAGAGAAGACTTATTGCAATCCCCCTAGCATGCCCAATACAATTACATCTAGCACAAAAAGAAGGAAATTCCTCCATATCAACAAGCTGAATATACCCTTACTTTTCAGGTCCGAGCCAAACTTTGTTCGCATATTTTTTGTAATATCAAGCTCTATCAAAATCCGCACAACAGATGGTCGAGATCCAATGGAAGTGGCATTGTCAACCTTTAAAAAAAGCCCAAATAATGAACCAAGGGCATGTAGGATACGATGAGAGAATAGGTGAGGTCTTAAGTTAGGGAATGAGATCCAAATAGGAATAATTGGTGATTCAACACCAATATCAAGGGCGGCCATTTGGTTAACTTCATATAGCAATTATTGACAAAATAAGATCTATGAGCAAAAACTCCGCTATAGTCCAAATCATTCATCAACTTAATCAAAATATGCGACGGGTTGAAAGTTACAGAAAAATCGGCATTAAGAATAAGGTTGAAGAAAAATTTTTGGATAGAATCTAGCCTAAGACGATGGCTAGGAAAATAACCAACCAAAACAAATTGCAAAGGAGCTGCTAATGCTAGTAAGGTTGAAGAAAAAGTTATACTAATTACTAGAGCTATTAAATTATAAATTTAGGGTTTAATTTCATTTAATTTGAGTAAGCTTGGTATTTGTTGGTGTTTTGGGCTAGAATTTCTATGGAGGTAGAGTGTGAGGGTTTAATGTTTTTGCATTATACGAAGATCCAATATACATACAAATAAAGAGAAGTTACAAGAGGCATTATAATTGTTATGTGAAAATTTTGAAAAAGTGAAAAATCATAGGGCTTGTCCACATGAAATGATTCAACTAATGCTTATCATAAACCTAGAAGTGCAACATAAATCTTGATGTTGTCGTCCAAAGTCACAGTTGGTGTTGATGACATATATCAACTTTTTTGTTGTAGATGTGTATTGTTGGCGACGACAAGTGACGAAGTCAGCAAGCACCATGTTAGCTAGTGACATTTGTGAGAAGGTCATAGTTTCGTGGCGATGGAGGTTGGACTGTTGAAGGATCTTTGTAGGACAACTGTGATTAGAAGATCATAGTAGGGGAAGTTTCAGTATATATATTATTAATTAAGCTTTCTTACTTCTTTCAATTTAGTAATAAATTTATCTATGATAAATTATATTTTTTAATAGTTAAATAATAAAATATATCATACATTAATCTTGTTGCTGCCATCATTGTCAACCACCACCAGCCATCGTTGTATTTTAAATATTAATTTTAGTTTGCAAGTAAATTAAACTTATAAAAATCTTTTATAAGCAGCCAAAATCCTATAAATCTTCTTGAATATATTATTTTACTTTTTAAAATAGTAGTGAATTTTAAATTCATCCAACCAAATAGAGAGTAATTATAATTATTCATTGTCACATAATATTTATGGTAAAAATCTATTGTATTTATTTATGTAAAATGTCCTCATTATTGAGGATATTCTGTTTTATTGCATTTCCATCATAGTTTTATTCTTTTGCCTTTATATAAGCATATTTGTTTCAGTAAGAACAAAAATATTTCTCTTCTTACTTCTTTTTCACATAATTCTTTTTCATCTATTTATTTCTTGAATTTCGAGAGTGTTTCTTTAAGAACCTAATGCTTGTTGTTTGGGAAAGAAAGATTAATAATCAATAATAATGAAACTAATAAAATGCTGGAAAAGAATATTGAAAATCAAACACACATGTCAGAGTTACTATGTGGTAAGTTTAATAATTTTTTTAAGAATGATAATATAATTAAAATATTTATAATAATTTTTTATTTTTAAATTATTATTCATATGCATTTAATAATACACGTGGAATAAAACTAAATAAGATTTGGATTTGGCACGTGCATTTGATGTTCAGAGATTCTTTTCTAGTATTTCTAGGATTTTTTTTAGGAAAAATGAGGGCTTGGTCCAATCTAATAATAATCAAAAGTGTACAAGTGAAGAAATAAAAATCGAAAGGCAGGCAATTAAAAAGAAACAAAACTATAAAAAAAGACAGGAAAATCTATCGAGCGGACTCAAAAATCAAGCAAAATCAGTTAATAAGAATAGAATACTCCCTTGGTTGCCCGAATATATTCCAAAGAGAGGAATAAGCAAGCTTCATTATCGTCCAAACCCAAAAATTATGTCTGCCACAAAAAT